AATCTATCATTAATAAAAGTAGCCTTTCTGCTCTGATAGCAGGATTGAAAGGCAGATCACTGTTGCATTGGGGTGGAGTATGTGTCATAACAGAAGAAACTTGGCCAAGATGGGCTTGATCAAGCTGGCATGGTGTTTTCTAAGATAAGGTCCTAAAGACTGATCTGGGGTGTAGATGGAGTCATAAACAGCCAACAGGGTAAAGATACATTAATTTAAATCAAGTAGAAAACAAGTAAAAGATAAAGAGGAGTTTCTTGAATACTCCATAAAACACTAAATGTAAGAGTCAGCTTTAAACATTTAATATACCCAGTTAACATGAGAGCAGCTGACTGCAGCATCAATGAATTATAAACTTTCCATTTCTGTATCTCTTTTCCTTAGATTAGAAGTCAGAATCATGGGTAGCAAGTAAGAGACGAGAGGAGAGGAACGGTTATCACTTCAAATGCTAGACATTTTGACTGTTACATAAAGTGGGACATTTGATTATCCACCAGAGTAGCTCCTATCACCTACAACAAAAAAAATTAGGGAACTGAGTTTAAAAAACAGTTATTTTTCTAATTGTACCTCATTTCCTGGTTTTAGTCAACATATCATATAAATCTGGGACTTTTTTTAGATAATAATGAATTCCTCTCTATAGCGCTGGCCCATTCATCACCAGACACCGTCTTGTGTTGGGTACAGAATTGGTCTGGCCAATTGCTGAATCCACTTTCAGCTAAAAGTACACATCCCTTGTTTCAAGAGTCATTAAGGACCTCAGGAGATTAAAACCTCCTGGAAGAATTTTCACATACAAAGTCAGCATCATCCCTCTAGTGGGAGAGCTCATCTCATAGCAGCATCCTGACAGAGTGGACAGAGGAGGTGAAAACATCCCTAGACTTCAGGTTTTTATTCTGTAACTAATTGTGTCACTGTCAGCAATTCACCATAGTTCTGAAGATCATTCACTTGCCATTGTCATTTTCCCTAAGGATTCCAAGCTTCAAAGGTCAAAGTTTCTATGATTGATTAACATTCCTGAAAATTTAGGGAGGGAAGCAGGATTCAGGACACAGGACAGTTTCAGAGATTTGAAAGCAGAACAGTGACAGCCTACTCCATGGTTCAAACTAATGGCTGAAGCACACATGGTCTACTTTCCTCTTGCCTTATAAATTCCTAGATAATGAAGTATGCAAATGTGCCCAGGAGATTAAAAGAATGGGAGAAATAAGCTACTCATAATCTGTATTTAGTTATTACATGTTTACTTTGTTCATACTTATTTTCCATAGACAAGAACTAATAATGTGTTTATTTATGGGGTACAATGTGCTGTTTGGATCTAGGTACGAAAAGATTCAATCAGGCTGATTAACATGACCATCACCTCAATGAACCATAAATAATTCATTATTTCTAGCTTTGCATGATAAGTGATAAAAATGGAAAACTATGGTCTTTAGACAGCCCTCTTTATACAAACTCTCTATCCACCTCTACCTTGTTACTGCCTCCTTTTAGTGCCCTGGCAAATAAAATAATATAAAAGATGATCAAAACCTTAAAGCATCTTAGAGAATGTCCCTTTTTTTCATTTTAGCAGTTTTTAACAAAAGAAGTAAATTAGATTATTTTACTCCTGCATCTTCTCAGTTGTTTCTCCCTTACAGTTGTCCTTGTCCTTTCCTACTTGGAGAGACTTGGCTTTCTGTGCAAGACCTTTTTGTGCCACCTGGACACTTGGCCATTAGCCTTTTTATGTTGCACCTGTTCACTGTAGATGACTTATTTCTTCGTATAAACATGGACTATTTTGCCAATTTGCTGATTGACCTTTATAGTGTTCTCGCACAACCTGAACTTCATCAACCTTTCGAATGGTCATAGATCCAATATTGTATGTCTGCCTGAGCTCTTTGGAAAGCGGGAAAGATGTAATCTTCCTGCAGAAGTGGAAAGGTGCATTGAAATGCCTTTTTTTATTGTTCTTTCTTATATACTGAGATTTTTAACATAATTTTTAATTATTCTTGTTTTCTTTTTTATTTCAATTTCTTTTATACATTCAATCACATGTTACTTAGCTTATAAAGTGAACATTCCAACATGTGTACACTTCTCAGCAGTCCAGTTGATAATACTATAAAGTTATCTTCAATAAATAATATCTCATTTCTTTGTCCCATATGGTTCTTGCTTCAGTCATAAGTCACAAAAGGATTGAACTTCATTTTGGCGTTGCTGCTCTGGTGATGGCCACAAAAGAGAAAGGTCTCAAGAATGCTCTTTAAAAACAGCTGGAGAGGAGATTTATATCTAGAAAAAGAAACTGATTTTTCCAGGCTCAGAAAATCATTACATGCCAAAGCCAGGGTTAATCCTTAGGAGTCCTGACCCCAAGATCAAGGTCCTTTTCCCTAAACCACATTGAATCCTATATGACTTCACCAATGTAAAGTTGTGAGTTTCTAGAACAGTAGAAATTAAGTACAGCCTTAGATACAGGTACTTCTTACATCATTTTGTGTGCATGTGTGACATATATATGCCTTTAGCCACTCACTTCTCTTGTTCAAGTGTATATGATAGATCTCCCTCTAGAAATGTATCCCCTAGTTTCCTTTTTAGCTTCCTCTGCAACACCTCAAGGTTGCCTCAAAGACCTCAGTAAAAGAATAGAGATTTTTACAGGTCTTTATTTAAATTGTAGTTTTATCACCCACTCACTATAAGTTATAAGACAAGTTAATCTCACTACATCTCAGTTGCCACATCTGTCAAGGATTAAATGAATAAATAGATATACCATTCTTTGCTGATTGCCTGGTGTATGACATGTATTCAAAATTTATTCATTTTCTCTATATATATTCCTTTATTCACACCTATCCAGACAATCACAATATCAGCGGTCCCAGTGTTTGGGAAGAGTGTGATCCTTGAGCTGTCAGGCATCCTTCTTTCTAAAATATTATACTTAGGTCCCTGGACCCAGAATGGTTTGGGATCTTGCCTTTCACAAAATCTTGCTTTCAGCTTCTTTTCTTCTCCCTTCTCTTTCTGTTTCCATTACATTAATTCAGATCTCTCATATTTTCTGATTACTCTCTATGAAACTGTATAAGGATAGAAGTATAGTCAGATGGGAGAAATAAAAGAAAAATAACACTGGTCAATTCTGGATCCCATGGAATCACATTTTTGGAGAGGACACAGACTGAGTTCTAACACCAGAGGTGATATAGTCAATGTAAAACACAGAGGGTTAGTCACTTACTTGCTGAGAACCATAGAACACATAAATTCCATATTACTGGGAAAAATCTAGAAAGCTTGCTAGAGTGACAATTCTGCATTGCACACCATTCCAGGGTCTCTGTCACTTTTCAGATTCCCAGGTCCACTTCCTCCTCTATTCTCACCAGAATAGGGTATTATCTGATCTGGCGTTATTAGAGGTTGGAGGAAAAAAGGGAAGGAAAGAAAGAAAAAAAATGATATGTATTTCTGAAGTTCTCCTGAGGGCAGATGTCTTATAAGCCTGAATCATACCTGCCAAGTGAAAAATCTTCCAGCCTTCCCTGTCCTCATGCACAAGGAGTCAGTGAGCATGAAATCCTTTTAAAAACATCTGAATGACATAGCAATTAACAACATAACCCCCCTCAGAGAATTAGCTACAGGAATTAAGTATGGAAATTAAATGATATGTATACAAGTTCCAGTATAAAAAAACTGAGTATATATAATATAGAAGAATAAAAAAACCTGCCTCTGTGGGTGAGTGGATTAACAACAGACAATCTAGATGCATGTAAGTAGAAATATCACACAATATGTGATTATACAAATCTGTGTATACACGTAACACATGTACAAATGCTATATATACATTAATGGAGACATAGAGTAAGAGTACAAGACATATATATGTTAGAGTGCAAATAAATGCTCTATATACATTAATGGATACATAGAGTATGAGTACAAGACATATATATGTTAGAGTGCAAAGGTTTAGAGGGAGAGCATGAATGTACTTGAATAATAACAGTAAGATTGTGAATGATAAACAGTGTGTGAGTGAGTATCTAGTTAGAATATGAATGGGATCTAGTAATAGGCTGTTGAGAAGGCACATTAATGTGTCTTTGTGAATAACGGGTATTTTGAGAGTACCTATGACTGTGTAAGCATATGAAAGTTTGTGTTCGAAACAGGTCAATGCCCTGCTACACAAGAAATGTTATTTTATCTATAGAATATTTAGGTAAGAATTCATAGTTTTTCCAATGCCAGAAACAGCTTTGTACCCTTGTACAATGTATGGTTTCTGTTGTTGCTTTTTTGCAGCAATTCTGCCTATGGAACGCTGATGTCAGAAGCCATATCCCACTGTCCCTTCCCCTATCCATCCAAGCACTCTTTTTTGCAGCAATTCTGCTTATGGAACTCTGATGTCTGAAGTCATACCCCACTGTCCCTTCCCCTATCCATCCAAGCACACCTCATGATGCACACAAGCTCTGGGGAATTCTCTTATTAATTAGTGACACATCTGAATTAACATTTCCAACGAAATATTTAAATACTTCCAAGAGAAATTGGAAACTCAAACTCCTGATTTCCTTCTACAATAACTATCTGTGAATTGCAGTTAATTCATAGTTGAATGGTGCTTTTAAATATAATGAAAGCTGTGGATAATGTGGTCAAAACATTTTTCTTGTAATTAATTATATTCACTAATGTTTTTTCTTCTATAAAACAGAAAAATATCAATCTGAGCTGTTGCCTGATGGTCATGAAATATGAAGAACAGAAGATTGCCTGTATCATCCCAAAACTGGTGATTTCATGAATGCATCAGTTTGCAACTATGTAAAAGTCATCTGCTGTGTTCTCTTACTTCCTGGTTCTTATGCTCCAATAAGTGCAGCTCTTAGAATTGTTGACATTAGAAGATCTGACCCTAAAAAGTGCCCTTAGTTCTTCCCGTCATGGGGTTGTTCAATGTCACTCGCCCTACTTCCTTCCTCTTGACTGGTATCCCTGGTCTGGAGAGCTCTCACTCCTGGCTGGCAGGCCCGCTCTGTGTGATGTATGCATTGGCCCTTGGAGGGAACACATTAATCTTGCAGGCTGTGCGGCTGGAGTCCAGCCTCCATGCACCCATGTACTACTTCCTGTCCATGTTGTCTTTTAGTGATGTAGCCATGGCCATGGCCACACTGCCCACAGTACTCAGAACCTTCTGTCTTGATGCCCGCACCATTGCTTTTGATGCCTGCCTGGTCCAGATGTTTCTCATTCATTCCTTCTCCATGATGGAGTCAGGTATCCTGCTGGCCATGAGCTTTGACCGCTACATAGCCATTTGTAATCCCTTGCGCTATGCTACTGTGCTCACCAATGAAATCATAGCAGGTATGGGTTTAGCTGTGACCGCTCGGAGTTTCATCACCCTCTTCCCTCTTCCCTTCCTCATCAAGAGGCTGCCTATCTGCAGATCTAATGTTCTTTCTCACTCCTACTGCCTGCACCCAGATATGATGAAGCTTGCCTGTGCTGATATCACTGTCAACAGTATCTATGGACTCTTTGTTCTTGTATCCACCTTTGGCATGGACCTGCTTTTTATCTTTTTATCCTATGTGCTCATTCTGCATTCTGTCATGGCCATTGCTTCCCGTGAAGAACGCCTTAAAGCTCTCAACACATGTGTGTCACATATCCTAGCTGTCCTCGCATTTTATGTGCCAATGATTGGGGTCTCCACAGTGCACCGCTTTGGGAAGCATGCCCCACGCTACGTACATGTCCTCATGTCCAATGTCTACCTCTTTGTGCCTCCTGTGCTCAACCCTCTCATTTACAGTGCCAAGACAAAGGAGATCCGCCGAGCCATTTTCCGTATGTTTAGCCGCATCAAATTGTGACTTGCCTGTTTGGCTTTAGGATGATTCTTGTGGCCATAGACGCCCACTGGTGACATTGTCATCATTGTACATAGACATTTTAGAGAAAATTGAAAGGGCAGGATATGAACTTTTGAACACAAAACAAAAAGTTCCAAATGAATTGTACATTTAGTAAATAATAATGGCATTCATAGATAAATACTGGAGGCCATTGAGCGAGTAGACAGAGATTCACACAGGAAGATTAATTTGAACTAGCAATTACTTTCTACATGAACAAATTTCACTAAGATGATAAATGCACTGAAGTTTTAAACGTGCCAGTTTATGAATTATTCAAATTAGATTTGTTTATAAATAGGCATTTAGAATCAAATTTAAATGAATCAGATTAAGTATTCCATAATAAATTATTTATGCACATTAGTTGACTTCATATTTATTACAGTTCTATGAGGCATAGAAAAATTCAGTTAATTGTTAAAGCTAACATAAATAATGTTTGGTCCAGATGAGAGTCAGTACTAGTGTGTCTTCTGTGTTAGTGTAACACCCTATGACTACAAAGAGGGCCCCTCTAATTGGCATCCTCCTCGTTACCAGCACTCTTCTCTCTTTCCAACCACAGTCATTCTCAAACATTCACAAGTGGCTTTACTGTCACTGTGTGAAATCTGATGAATCACCAGAACTCAACACAAAATGCATGAACAAACATGACCCAGAAAAATTGAGCATTTAGAAAAAAATCCATTTTTCTCTTTATTTCTCTCTGCCCACAATTCCTCCCCCAGTAAAACTGTCAAACACCTGAGAGGTCTGAGTCCTACACTTTTTTCCTTTGGGGTGGGGATTAGCAGTAATTGTGTTAGGGCCATAATTTCTCATTCTCTTCTCTTCTTGGGATTTTGACTTTCTTCCACACAGTGACATGTTAAGAGATATCATAAATTATGTTTTTTTTTTAAGATTTCCAGTTTAAATATGCCTGTGGATAGAAAAAAATAGGCCATGTATGATTTAGATACCATAAAATATTTTTAAACCTTCTCTTTGACCGTCCTTACATGATCTTTCCTTGATATCAGAAATGTAGGATACATTGAGAAATTATTTTGCCTAATTTTGATTATCTCAGATTAAATTTAGGCTTACTTCCAGACCAAAAAAATTATATAATTTATATATATGTATGTATATATGCACACATATATATAATGTGCTATAAATTCTAGCCTAACTCACTGGAAAACCTGGCCTGAGAACTCATAGGAGCAGGGCATACAAGAATCTGGTCTCTTTCCACACTATGCTCTTGATATTTCCTCCAATATCAAGAAGTGGAGGTGCAAGAGGAGGGAGCTATATATGAGTGTCAATAACGTGAGCATTTGAGATTCAGATTTTCAAAAATGCCCAAAAGTGCAATAAGAGATTCATCATATACATGTCCTGGCATACTAAATGAATTGTTTTTAGGGGAATGATTGAATAATACAACCCAACCTGATTTCAAATAGGAAATAATTAGGATATTTGGTGGTCTAGAGCAGAGTATGGTCTTTTATGAACTTAAATAACTTTTCTGAAAAAAGCTCTAATTTTTACATCAAATAATAGAAATACATCTTTTATTTATAGAGAGAGATTTTTGCTATAGGGCACATGCATTCGCCATTAAGATAGAGTCAGAGAGACAGAAAGCAAGAAATCAGCTTCCAGAAGAATGACCATACTGTAATCCCTTCTCCATTCTCTCAGGATTTGCGGCACACATGCACACACACCTAGCATGAGTTTCAAGGCAACAGGTCTGGGACTCAAACTGCAGTTGACCATGTGGGAGTTCAGTAGTTCAGTGACCATTACGTCATCTGCTGGTCCCAGGAATATATCTTAATGCTTGAGATTTTAGTTTCAAATAGATTAATAGATGCAAAGACAAGGCTTAGGGAAGCTACTACTCGAGTCTAAGGACAACACTCACTGATTTCCAGCCCAGAAAGAATGTGGGAAACATCATTATAATCATAGGTCTGACTTGGAAAGTCAATGGTATAATTACATAGAAGGACATGGAGAATGGGAATAGGCTCCACAAGGCTCATCAGGCTCCTTTCCACTTTATTTTTCCTTCCTTCCTCCATCACCAATTAGAAGAGTTACTGATTTTCAGGGGCTAAGGAAAAGGTTATTTTTAGGTTTTGGGTTTTTTTTATTTTTCTCTCATGAGGCAAGTGAAACAGGTGCCATAAGAAAAACCTAAGACAGGTCTAATCTTAAAAAGCCTAAACTAAGTCTTAATTTTTTTTATTTAGATTGAAACTCTTCTGTCTCTTTTTATTTAATATGCTTTTCTTTAAACTCAGCATTTTTTCCTATGGAAGTATAAAAATACCTGGATTTTGGCTTACAAAGACTGAAAAAAAAAAGCAAAATAAAACTCTTGTACTTTTTCCTTTAGTACCCATAGGTCTACCTCTAATCTAAGAGAATCAAAAAAAAAACTGAACATTCTGAGACACGAGTTTGAGGCTTGTAGGAAAATATATCTGAGTAATAAACATCATGCTTTTGTCCTATCATATAATGGGTACACTTCTCATCCTGGGCCAGTGTTGAACAAATCAATCAGTGAGGAAAGACAGTAAAAAAAGAAAAAACTAGAAAAGAGAATTACAGTAGGGAAGAAGTCTTGATCCCTGTGTCTTCAGGTAATAATTAATATCTGTGTGAGCCCAGAAAGTGGGGAAACATTCAGAAATGAGTGCTTGGTTGAGGAGAGCAATGTGCCCCTCAGCATGGCTGCCTTGTTTTTTTTTAATGCCACAAAGAAGTCGTGCCCTACTTCAGTCACATGATCTTCAGATCTCCTCAGCTCTCCTAGAACAAGACTACTTTGCTGTGAGTGGTATTTAGTTGCATCAGAAGTGCTCTTCATTCAAACATCATTTTACAAAACGTTAAGTAGGAACAGAGAACAAGGAAGTTTGTGGATTGGGTTTTTTATTTTTATTTTTTTCTCTGAATGTGATTATGTACCAAAAGTATATTTCCTCACCAGGGAATATCCAATCCTCCATTATCAACTGACCACATTTTCTAACTGTGCTGATGCACTCTAGAATCAGGACTTCCTATTGCTGTTTCACTCTCAGATAACAAGGAATCTAGTTGTTGGTGCATATACATTTGAGAATAGTTAACTGAAGACCATCAGGTGGCTGAGTGGGACATTTGCTCTCAGACCATTGAAATGGGGGGCCAGCAGTTGGCGTAATGGCTATGTCGAGAACTCCCATGTAGTTGAAGCAGTTCAAGTTCCAGACCTGGTGGCTTAAACTCACGCTGGCCATGTGTGCATGAGTGCCCAAAATCCTGAGAGGAGAATGGAGGAGAAGGGATTGTGGCATGACCATACCCCCTGGGGCATGAGTTCTTGCTTTCTCTCTCTCTGTCTCTCTCTTTCTGGTGAGCACTTGCGCCCTATAGCAAAAAAAAAAAAAAGAAAAGAAAAGAAAAAGAAAAAG